GTTTAAAGATTTACGGTGTGTTGCCATGGGATTGGTTACATTTGTCATTCGCGCACATTTGTAGCTGGGCTGTCTTCAACGTTTAACGTGAGTAGTAGTGAGTTAACTGAGAAGCGTTCCGTTTAACAGTGACAGGATATTCATATCGCGAGCAGGTAGAAAGGATTTTTACATACGGTCGCACGAATGATAATGGACGCGAGGCTGTACGGCTGTATCAGATTACGTTTCGAGACCGAGGGCAGCCATATTAGCCAACCTTTGCTGCTGTTTACCATTGCGTTGCTGAGACATGATCCATCACACCACAAACTATGATTCGCTCGTACACCTGACCACGAAGTATACATATTGCAGACTAAACTTTACACTTAATAACTGAAAAGCGAATTACTTGCGGATATATATATGTTTATATAGACTTTTATATATATATATATATATATATATATATATATATATATATATATCACTTGAACGTTGTTTTTATGGATACCCATATTTCAGTAGACGCTCTGTTTATTTATTAAACAATATATTTATTTATTTTCATCTACCGGTTTGAATATTCCAGAATAGCTTATTAAAGAAAAGATGTCCCCCGACCTCACTGGTACATCTTTTCTTTTCTTCAGTACGATTTCTCGAATATTCAGAATAAATATACTGTTTAATAAATAAACGGGACGTCTACTCAAATGTGGGTAGCCATTATAAATGACATTTAAGCGACAAAATGTGTTGGATTAATAATAAAAATCCATTATTCATTAGAAAAAATATATATATTATGATAAAAATATGGTTTTAAATTATGGTATATTTATGTGTAAAATTGCTTTAATGTATTCTATATTTATGGGATAAAATTGCTCAATATATATAACTTTAAGCTATATATATATATATATATATATATATATATATATATATATATATATAGATATATATATATATATATATATATATATATATATATGTAGTTAGAGAGAGAGAGAGACAATGGAAGAGGGAGAGATGGAAGAGGAGATATATATATATATATATATATATATATATATATATATATATATATATATAGGTAATCGATCCGTTGGTATATAATCCGGGTGGATCCCAGTAATATTAATTATTAAAACTGATCCATAGAGTGCTCGATGTTTTTATTTCAACAGAACATATATATATATATATATATATATATATATATATATATATATATATATATTTTACAGTAAAAAAAAACAAAAATTACCTCAACATCGGAATAGTCATTTTCAAACCATTCTTCAACGAATGGCTGACGAAAGCATTTGAGGAACAGTTTGAAATACTTATTCCGATGTTGAGGCTATTTTTGTTTTTTACTGTAATATATATATATATATATATATATATATATGAGAGGATAAAGAACAAGTAGGAAACAGATCTTAATCTAACATATTTTATTTATTTTAGTTTCCTAGACAAAAATAGAAATGATAAAACATGATAAAAAGCAAAAAGACGCGAATTCATGGTACGTTATGTCTGGTTATTTCTTATTGGTCACGTCTTATGAAGTAACAGATAATATTCAAATATGTGTGACAATTTCTCGACCCTACAGTGTGTAAAATTAGTGAAATGCAGTAGGATGTTTTGATTGGATACGTGTTACGTGTAATGAAGTAACAGACAATATTCAAATAAGTTAAAGAAAACATTCTCGATGCTAAAGTGTGGAAAAGTTAGTGAGACGCTGCAGGATGTTTTAAATTTTTTATTTGGTTAAATTTTTCATGAAAGTATATCTCGTGCGTATTTTTCATATATATTAAATAAAACAGATAAATTAGATTCATGAATAATGGATCTGTAGAAAAATGGTGATGTAATGTAGTTTTTTTAAATGTGTTAATAGTTGGTAATATTGCTATAAAACCATTTTCATAGTATTTTTCTCTTGCGATGTAGGAATTTGAATGTTTATTTAAACGCAAATCTCTTTTACACACAGACACACATACACACACACACACACACACACATATATATATATATATATATATATATATATATATATATATAGGAGTAGGATTTTATCATTTTTTTTCGGGTTTAGGTTTGGGTTTCAGATTCTTTCTAATGTTTCCTTGTTTTCTTTCATTGACTGTATGCCTTTGCGTTTTAGTGGCACTACCTTACCGGAAATAATACAAATATATATATATATATATATATATATATATATATATATATATATATATATATATATATATATATATATAGATAACTAGACTCGTTTTGAAAAAACCTCGAATTTTTGATTTGCTAATCAAATCAATCTCGAGGGAAAAAAGGTTTTCAAAAAGAAAGAGCTACAAACATGAACTTTTTGCCGACAAAAAATCGCACAGATGCAGGTCTGAAGCCCAAAGAAAAAACCCTGATACGAGTAACAACTAACGAGCTCAATACAACCGTAGAGCAGACCTTAGATATACCTAGTGAGTCAGACAAACCACCTAGAACACCTAAACGGATCGTCAGGGAAAGTTTGGCTAACGTCGTTAGCCAAACTAACGTCGTTAGCCAAACTTTCCCTGATGATCCGTTTAGGTGAAACCTAGGTAGGTTTGTCTGGCTCACTAGGTATATATATATATATATATATATATATATATATATATATATATATATATATATATATATATATATATATATATATATATATATATATATGTATGTATATATGTGTGTGTGTGTGTGTGTGTGTGTGTGTGTGTGAGTATTAATGCACATTTGGAAAGTGCGAAAAACCAGACCTTGGTTTGACACAAGTCTTGTGACTGTCATTGCGTAGACTCTTCAGAAGCCGTTGATTGTTTTACTGGCACAAAGTCGCAAGACATCGTGACCAAGGGTTTCAATGTACTGGCGTTGTTCGAACCATAACAGATGATACACACTTTCCGAGAAACTTTAAGGAAGGTCCGCTCAGTATAACTGCAGTACAAAGAACAGGTTGTGTGGGTGTTGAGCAAACAAAAAAGTGTCTGAGCAGGCATCTGCAACAGGGATTGTGTTGCCTCCCTAGCAGACGGGTGGACTCGAATAACGGATGTAGCTGGTTATGTATGTATGTATGTATGTAGTGTAGGTATGTTAAAAATATACTTGAATAGGCCTTCTAAAAAGCCTGAATTTAATTATTTGTATTCTTTAGAATAGCTGATGCCAGTCGAAAGTTCTGAACCTATTCAAGAGTTAATAAGAACTGTGGACAGTTGCTATTTACCATTAACATTCAAGATACGGAAATTAATCCGTCAAGAAAAAAGATTGATTGAAAATGTTAACTTGTTCTTTATCTTCAACAAATCTGTTATCCCTCAGACACACGCCCTCACACACACACACACAACACACAAAACACAACACACGCACAACAAACACACATATATATATATCAGTTTTTTTAAATTGTTATATATATATATATATATATATATATATATATATATATATATATATATATATATATCAGTTTTGTTAAATTCAGCCGACTAGGTCTGTCTGTTTAATTTTTATTGTATTCTTTTTTTCAATTTTCTAATAAAACACTACGACAATATTATGGATAGATTGTCCAAATTGTGCGTTTTTTTTTTGCTTTTGTTCAAGTATTTATGATCGTTCCGCTCATTATCAAGAATTTGTGTATTGCTTATCCAAAACTCTTAACCTACTTATTCTGACATACTTATCCAATACATATATATATATATATATATATATATATATATATATATATATATATATATATATATATATATATATATATATATATCCAAGTACAGGATTGGTGCATACGGAATAGATTCCAATAAACAACAAATACTATTCTTAAAAGAGTGCTCAATACAGAGTAGAGCAAATATAATTATTTATTCGAAAATTATAACATAAATATATTATAAAATCACTACAAAAATAGCCATTTTGATTGATTTGAACCTTTTGATTGATTTGAACCTTTTGAAACCCTTTATTCTATATTCAACACCATCACTTGATAAGACACCAGATGTGTTGGAACAAAATGTCTATTGTTGTAGTGATTTTATATCATATTTATGTGATAATTTTCGAATAAATACTCATATATATATATATATATATATATATATATATATATATATATATATATATATATATATACGAACCATAATAGGCTGAAAAGCAGGGAAAGTACATATACGAGTAAGTGCAAAAATGAAAACTGAACAATTTTTCATCACATTATCAAAGCACGTCTATACTGAATATAACAATAGCAAAAATATTTTTAAATCTGAAGTCAAACCCAATTTTTTTAAACAACACCGACTACAGTCTAAAACTTGATACTATTTTCAACAACAAATTCAAATTCAAATATTAAAAAAAAAAAACACCAGAAGTCTCCTCAAAAACTAGAAAAAGAAACATATCACAGCCAATAGCGTTGAAAGTCCATTAAAATCCACAAAATTGTATATGGGAAGGTAAAAATACAAAAACGTATCTCGTGAGTACGTCCCATAATTTCTCAAATCTCTATTCTTGTGTATAGCTTATCCAAACTCTTAACCATACTTAACCAACATATATATATATATATATATATATATATATATATATATATATATATGTGTGTGTGTGTGTGTGTGTGTGTGTGTGTGTGTGTGCATGTGTGTGTGTGTGTGTGTTGCTTATCCTGCCAATTTCAATTCTTGAAATACTGAAAGCAAATAAACCAAATAACGTCATTCTCGCCTCGATAAACATCATGGATTTTTGGGGTATGATGCATTTCAAATTCAAATATTATTTTCTAATTTAGTACAATTCTTTTATGCATACGTTTCAAACCAGTATATATATATATATATATATATATATATATATATATATATATATATATATAAATGTATATACCATGTATATACACAAATCTATGCAAAGAAGTATAATCATAGATAGATAGATAGATAGATAGATAGATAGATAGATAGATAGATAGATGGATAGATAGATAGATAGATTTGAACAATATTAAGTATCAATTTAAGCCTCAGTAAGGAATTAAGATATATAAATTATGATAGACCGAGTTGTACAGTATTGAATATAAATGAAATACTCGATTAGTAATAAAGATAAATTAGGATAGATAGATAGATAGATATGAATAGACTGTGATAGATAGATAGATAGATAGATAGATAGATAGATAGATAGATAGATAGATAGATAGATAGATATGAATAGACTGTGATAGATAGATAGATAGATAATGAACAGACTGGTATAGATAGATGTTCAGGATCATTTAACATTTCACATTTCTTAACAAATCTACTGCTATTGCAGTCTGGGTTATTTAACAACAAAACCTATAAAAACTAAAACAAAAGCATTGGTAAGCTGATTGAATTCGGCACGATAGTAAGTCTAAATACATCGAACGCCAGTAATTTAATATTTAAATTGAATGTTTTTAGCATCTTTACATTTTCAGCGTTTCCTCTCGATTTATAATTATAATCGACTTTTTTGCCAAGATTTTCAAACGCTACGCCGAAATATGTGTAATTCCATCAAGAAAAAGAACATTATTTTAGTTTAATGAAGTTTTCTTTGAATGACCAATGTCATTTACACAAGAGTTTTTTTTTTTTTCCTTTTAGCCATTCAATTATCTACCATATATATATATGCACATAACGGGCGTTACAGCTAAATTGTACAATTGTTAGATTAAGCTCTGAACCGTTGTATCTTAGAAATGATTAAAGATATCTTACTGTAATTTTTCGCGGTTTGTATAACACTATTAGTCTATTTTGAACAAAAAGAATGTATTATTACTCTCCAAGCTTAATAGAAGAATGATGATTAAATCGACCATAAACGAAAATGGCATGTTCATCATTAATTAATCATACCTAAGGATCGGAAGCTCAGGAAATATTGAAATATAGTTCAAATATATATATATATATATATATATATATATATATATTATTTGAACATGATTTTTATTTGAACTTATTCAAGATGATCTTCGCTCTTTCTATCCTCCTAACTTTCTGTCATGGAGTAATAAGTTGCCTAACAGATTTCGCGGTCGATTTCATTTTCAAGTCATTTTTCACCACCCCTTAGCTAAGTAGTATTAACTATTATTTCAGACCGGTAACTGTAATTAATACTGTTTTATTAAAAACAAACCAAAAAAACAGAGCATTTACTTAAATCTTAAATAAATTGTATTTATAAAAATAACGTAATACATATATATATATATATATATATATATATATATATATATATATATATATATATATATATATATATATACAGAGAGAGAGAGAGATATGGTAACTTCGCCATTTTATATATTTAATTTCGGGCATGCGCGTTGTTTGTTTTCGAATACACACTAAGGTAAGGTCAGTTGTGCACCATCTATGAGAAAAAAGCACCATGACGCAATTCACCCCGCCAGAAATTTGGAAACGGCATGCTGCACTGCTTCGCCACGGAAGCTCCAGTACGAATATTTCAGAGTGTTTGTGTGTCAATCTGAATACAATGCACAGGATTCGAAAAGAGTTGGATGAGTCTAATGGGATTAAGAAGGTATGGCAGATCGGAAAACTCACTCTGATCCTTCTGATAAGAAAAGAACTCTGAAGGTTTTTGGTGAGGGCCTCAGACTCAACACAGGCCGATATCAAGTGCCTTGAGAAGGAAGTGCTGCCTTGGTTCAAGATGGTGGCCGCTGGAAGACCCTATATGGTGGACTCTCCCGTCGTATTCGATGTATGAGGGTCAATCAACTCAGTTCCTAGGAACCGACAGCTAGACACCAGAACATATGATTTGATTATAGTGGTGAAGGCTTTCTGCAGAACAATCCACACTTTTTGAAGGGCCGAATACAGAGACCTGGTGAACTACGTGCCACAAGGTCTCCAAATGACCCTCCGCAGGTTTTGAATTCAGAGTTGTCCTCCTTCTATAAAATATATATTAAATGAGTACTAATTCAGATACCTAAGTAGCGTATTAGAAAAACAAAGTTGTACACTAAACTAATGTATACTCTGAGATTTTATGATACAGAAACTAAAGTATTCACTGAATCAGAAGATAAAATGGCGACAGAATCGTTATTTACAAAAATTCCTGAGACGAACGTCCAGCAAGATCAAACTGAGGACACTTTTGAACTGGCCGGCGAGACAAGCTAACTACTGTGCTATGACAGATACACTATTATATTAATAATATTTTACAGAACAACAATGAAGGCTTTTATTAATTTGCTATGAACACTCCTGAATCCTGTGGCTTCTTAGTACAACAGAACCATTCAATATCTGCCCTGCTAAATGACCAGTACAAAACGTAGATTAGCAATTTATGAATTAAATACAAAACCTCAATACTTATATCAATATGTGTAGAACGGTTCCTTCAGTGGAAAATGTCGAATTGGCTTACGAATGTCAGCTAGAAAATTATGAATATCTGCGAGAGCGAGAAAGCCAAAGGCTAGAAAATTAATATATTTCCTATAGAAGTGGGATATTGAAGATTTACTGCCAACTTGACTTCGGCATATCGAGATAAAGTTGGTTTGTCTGCTTGAGAAAAGAGGAAATATATGCCGCTTCAACATCAGGCGGCGCTTTTGTACGTATGGATTTGACATTCTTGCATTGTGATAAAGAGTTAAGAAACTCCGGTGATATCCTTATAGACTGCTGAAGTGTTTTGTATTATTGGTAATGATGCTTCTTAAACTCAGAAACCGTGCCTGTTAACCTGAGTCATCTATAATCTGTAGAATGCTTTGTTCGAAATACAGCTGTTGTTTTCGTAGCAAAAATTGCGTGAGTACACACACACACACACACACACACACACATATATATATATATATATATATATATATATATATATATATATATATATATTCCTAAAGAGAGGAATGGACATGTATTTATTAATCCAACAGATTTTTTTTATGAGTTAAACGTTATTTTTAGTGGAAACTCGTATTTAAGTAGACGCTCCTTTTATTCATTAAACGATATATTTATTTTTGCCTGAATATTCTAGAAATCTTAATAGGAAAATATACGCTCTCCAGTAGGATTCGAACTCGCGTTCCTATAGGGGATTTCTCAAATGTTCAGCATAATAGACTGTTTAATAAATAAACGGAGCGTCTACACAAATATGAGTATCCACTAAATAATGTTTAAGTAAGAAAAAGAAAATCTGTCGGATTAATAAATAAAAAATCAATTCCTTTCTTTAGAAATTAGCGGTTCGGATCCTGTCGGAGAACACATAGATTTCTTTAATAAGATTTCTCGAATAATCAGGTGGATAGGCGAAAATAAATAAATATAATGTTTAATAAATAAACGGAGCGTCTACTCAAATACGAATATCCGCTAAAATAACTATAACTATATATATATATATATATATATATATATATATATATTTATCCACAGGCAGACTGTTTCGCTGTAGCACAGCTCATCAGTGTGGCTAGACGTCCGGTTGCCTCTAGCTGGGATCGAAACCCGACTGAATTGGCGTCAGTTGGGATTCTACTACTAAGCCGTTGGCGCAGGACAGGGATGAAGGTGAATTTAAGTGTATTCAATTCTAGATGAACACACGGTGGCTGAAAGAACTTGAAATAAAAATATACTTTTAAGGTATTCTGGCTTAAAAAAAAAAAAACAAAAAACAAAAAAAACCTGCAAAACTTTGATAACTCGTAAAAAATGAATAAATAAATCAAACTATATATATATATATATATATGTGTGTGTGTGTGTGTGTGTGTGTGTGTGTGTGTGTATGTATAAGTGAACATAGAAGTCAACACTTAGAGGCGACAGTCTGTTTCATACTCGATGCATTCGTCAGGACACGTGTATATATATGATAAAAATATGCTTTTAAGGTATGTCATATTTATAGGTAAAAGTGCTCAATATAAGAGATAGAGCCTGTGTAAATATAAGAATGGACACTGTGTTCAACACCGTGTTTCGACAGTCTATTTCATGCTTGGACACAATCTTAATGCTTTGAACTGTGAAGCTCTCTATAAGCAAAGCGGTAAATCATACCGGATGAAATTTGTTTCTCTTAAAAAGGGGACGCAGATTCCCGGCACCTACAATCTTCAAAGAATTAAATGCAACGCCAATTGCCATCTTCCTTTTCTTTTGTTATCCTTTCTCTTCACTAAAATCTTCTCATTCTCTTTCACTCTCGGTAACCCCTTGCGTCCTAGGAGCATTATCGCCTTGCTTATATATATATATATATATATATATATATATATATATTGACTTAAAAAACCTGCAAAATGTTGATAACCCGTAAAAAATGAATAAATAAATCAAACCACACACACAGATGTTTAATATCTAAAAAAAACAGTAAACTAATGGAGTTTTTTTTTCCATGTTTTTAGATACGACGATCGGACAGTTTGACACAATTTGCCGTATGAATCACTGAAAAAAACCTTTGATTTATTAATCTAAAAAGAGGGCGGGTTAAAATCGTCTTGTGTCAATCCACTATGCCTCCCTAACTGAGCAATGATAAGAGAAAAAAATAATTCTCTGGCTTCCATCTTAAAAAGTCCATTCAAAAACTGTCAAGAGAATGGTGAATAAGTTTAAAAAAGAGCGAACAGTAGAGAGGAAATCTGGAGCAGGAGGTCATAACAACGACATCATTTCAACTTAGAGCTAAATACATTCTTATTGTTCAAAGTAGAGTCTAAAAGTGTTATAAATTCCTCGGAGAATTCCAGTAAGACATCTTTAATCATTTCTAAGATACAACAGTTCAAAGCTTAATTAAATAATTGGACAATTTTGCTGTTGCACGATTTGGACAATTTTGCAGCTACTTACGGTATATATAACTATATATATATATATATATATATATATATATATATATATATATATAACGGTTCTTTCGGGGTGGGGGAAATGTCAGCTGAACAGTTTCTTTCTTCATTAAGTGTCTCAAATATGTTAACTGTCTGTTATTGGTTCTTAAAATTCCCTCATTTCTACCATATTTATTCCTTGGCATTCTCAGCATCTGTCAGTAAAACCACATCCCCATAGTTTCAAGGTCGCTCTCAATCTGTGAGGACATTGTCCAACATTTACTGCTATATTACAGCTTAGCATTTTAGTGCACTTTTCTATGTTTCTAATGAAAATATCCCGTTACTTAACT